CAGAGCCGCTGGAAGCTGGAAGTCGAATGAGTTATTGATGTTCAGTCAACTGTTCTATATCAAAAATTCTTTGATACATTTTCATATGCAAAGTTTGTCTGGGGAAAGTCATACTTTCCGTGTTTAGGATTACAGGTTTGTCTTTGTGAAGCTGACAACAGTCGGGGGAAAAAAGGGGAATTTTTCTTCCATTTCCTATGTAAATGATCATACTAAACATACTAATATGCACTCACTCTTTCCTGTTCTGTTCATGCAACATCACACCTGTCATGTGCTGTATCTGTTTGGATAATGTGGGGGTTTGCACCATCACCTCACAGCCAGAGGGTTCTGGGTTAGAGTTCCTGGGGGAACCAGGACCTTTCTGTGTGGAGTTTCCATGTTCTCCCTGTGTCTGCGTGGGTTCCCTCCAGCTTTTAGACACGAGAATATAGAAGATGTTGAAAACATCAGTGTTTTTTTGGTTACAGCTGATGAAAAAACTTCAATAAGTTTTTAAGCGGCAAATCAATCAAAAGCTTTATTTTCAATCTCACTACAAGTAAAAATACAAAACAAATAAAAATAATCTAAAGTGGCAAGTAAAATATTCATCAAACGAAAAAGTACATGATAAATTGCCTTTTATCCCTTAAATAGATATCACACGTAAGTAAGTTTGAGTGGAAAAAATGTCATTTCTTAACAAGTTACTGTTTAGTTAAAGATGTTATGAAGCAAAAAACAATAATTATTGGACTGATGAAAAAACTTCAATAAGTCAATGAGATTTTTAAGAGGCAAATAAATCAAAAGCTTTATTTTCAATCTCACTACAAGTAAAAAGACTAAACAAATAAAAACAATCTAAAACGGCACGTTATATATCGATCAAACAAACAACTACATGACAAATGGCCTTTTGTGGTTAAAAAAAGACACATCATGTAAGTAATTTTGAGGAAAAAAAGTCATTTTCTTAACATGGTACTGTTTAGTGAAAGATGTTATGAAGCAAAAAACATTCATTATTGGCCTTTTCATAGTCGGCATGTGTCTGCAGACACCAGAATGAATAATCCACTCCTCCATACCGCAGATTTCTTTCTGTCATTTTATAATTGTGGCATAGATTACTTGGAATTATAAAATTGACTTTACAATGTATAGTGCTAAATCTTATGCATGCATGAGGGTTTCCTTCCTTCATTGAGGTAAGTGTATTCTTTGGTTACTTGTTGGATAAAAATTGAAGAAAAGCCACCACAGACATGATCTAAACACGATGAACAAAGCCTGGGGGGCTCAAATTTAGGATTGTTTAAACTAAATTTTCATGTAATTTAACTATATATTTAAATATATATCCAGATCACATTAAAAATCTTAATACACACTTGTAACTTTGAGGAAGTTGTTACTTTTTAGTGCAACTATAAGCTAATGAACTACTACTTTTATGAGTTTGATTTCATTTTTTCATTTCAATCTATAATTCTATGTTGTGTTAAAGAGAAAAAAGAAATGAAGTCTTCCAGTCAGGTTTTGTGGCGCCCTCTCAGTCTTTCTTTTTGGGTTTCATCCTCCACTGCAGTTTGACGTCGGTCAATCCCCGGGCTCTGAGCAGAGCCTCCATCTGAAAAGGAATTGAGGAAGCAGCCTTCAGAGCTCTAGTTTCTGCTGAGAAGTCCCAGCTGAGGCAGAAGTGGTTTACCTTCTGGAGGACCTGGGACTGAATGTGTGAATCAGAGAGGTCAACATCAGCCTCAGTCGTCATCCTGAAAACGGTGTTCCGCCTTAAAACTGAACATAAATCAGGTCAAAGAAAAGGCTCATGTTCTTAAAACATGTTTTTATTATTATCAGTAGTCACCTTGATGGCAGAGGAAGGGCCACTCAGCTCCACAATCTTCATCAGCCCACTCATGGTCTGTATTTTCTACAACACAGTGTTGTTGACCACCATTGTTTTCTTTGTAGATGGGATGCCAGTTCCTGAAGGAGCTTTGGCTCCGGTCAGACCAAGTCCAGGGGTTCCTGTACAGACCGATCCAATAAGAACCAGTGCCCGGTGTTGCATTGAAGGCCTCAGTGTTTTCTGCCTCATTCTCAATCATGGCCAAGTCGGTGAAGTGTT